AGAAGACTCTGTCATCTGCGACCTGATAAGTGTTGCTACTAATCCAATAACGTTCATATGCTAGCTCGGTTGGGTAGCCAATTGTGTTCAGTACTAAATTTCCATCTGGCAAAAGGCGAAGCTGAAACCTCCCGTTAGAGTAGTCATTTGGCCTCGAAGAAAGCCGAGAGGAAAGCTTTCCTCCTTGGCTAATCGATTGTGTGGGGAGAATGGTGTCTGTGGGATTGTCAAAGCTTTGCCAGGCATGGTTGATTGAATCGCTGACAAGTACGAGGTTTCCACTATCCAGCAGGGCTCCATTTGTAACGATATTACTTCCCGGGTCGGCGAACCAGACCTCTTGGCCTGCGTTATTCAGAAGGGAAAGCCTACCAGAACTCCTGAGCTCTGCGTGAGAGCCCTCCTGCACCACGGCGGCGTTATCATTGGTGTTAGCGGACCACACGACGGTATTCTCGGGTAACTTGGAGAACCATATGGCGAGCAAGAACATGCCAGATTCGAGTTGGAGGAATCCGAAGGCAAAGTCTCCTGATGGTGAGAGCGCCCATATTGAGGTGTTGTTCGGTTGAGGAGAGAAGGAGGAGCCTAAGGTTATGTTGGGACTGCTCTGGGATGGTGAAACTAAAGGGAGGATGAAGAAGAGGGGAATAAGGAGGGGGAAAAGGGTAGCAGAAGAGGAAGGCGCCATTGCCTGGCTTATCTTCTCTTCATTGGTAAGATACGGTGAGGGGAAGTAAGACTATTTATCAGGAATGGCTGGAGGTTGGAAAAGTCACCGGAGAAGACTTGACGACGACTCGAGCTCCAGCCAGGAATTCGTCCATGAACTCGCTTTCCTCCTCATGTCTAATGTCGTTTAAGAGACGCAAGGGAGATGTGGACAGAATGGCATATTTGAAACGTAAAAGGGGTGTGGGGATGCTCGTTCAATCCGTCCAATTATTGCATTTGCACTGCAAAATAATTTGTTTTTTTTCTCCACATCATATAAAATATTATAGAGAATAAATTAAGTATAAATCCAAATTTTAGATATTTCAAATAAATCATCCTAAACCAATTCCCGTTTCATCTCAGGGAGCGCAATCTCCGTCCCCCTCCCTCCTGTTCGCCTCTATCTATGGGCACCAGGCTCCATCATCTTCCGGTTCTTCACGTGCTAGGTCTCTTTCCTTCTGTTTTCTTCCCGCGCTATCTCCATCAGATTATCACATTAGTCTCGCTCGAGCTGCGTCCGAACGACGGCCGTGATACAGCAGATATCGTTCGGGAAACCGAAGATTGACACGAGTGAAAACATCAAATCTTTTAGTCCTTCATTGGAAAAACTACATGAACTAGAGATGAAAGTTCTACATGTGCATTTAAAGTATGATTTTCTAGGGAACTCTTCTATATTTCCTGTTATAATATCCTCAGACCTGACTGAAGATGAAGAATATAAATTAATGGAAATTTTAAAGAATTATAGGAAATATTTTGGATGGATGATAGTTGATATTAAAGAAATCAATCTTTCAATTTGTATGCACCAAATCTTAATGTAAGAGAATTATACGCCGGGGGATAATCCTTAAAGGAGACTAAATCCTATAATGAAAGAAGTTGTTACAAAAGAAATTATAAAGTGGTTACTTGCTAAAATTATTTATCCTATTTCAGATAGTGTTTGGGTTATTCCTATCCACTATGTTCCTAAGAAAAGGGGAGTGACTATATCTGTTAATGAAATGAATGAATTAATTCCTACTTTACAAGTAACTGGATGACAAATCTGCATTGATTATTGAAAATTAAATCTCACCGTTAGGGAAGATCACTTTCTGTTTCCTTTTCTAGATCAAATGTTAGACAAGCTAGCAAAGCACATATATTTTTGCTTTTTGGATGGATATATCGGTTATCACCAAATTCATATAACTCCTGAGAATTAAGAAAAGACTACATTTATTTTTGTTTTTTGGATGGATATATCAGTTACTAAGCCTCTATGCCAACTTTTAGAAAAAGATGCTTTATTTGATTTTAATCAAAAGTGCCTAAATGCCTTCGAGTTATTAAAAGAAAAATAATCAGTGCTTCTATTATTGTTTCACGTTTCACTTGATTGGGGGAAACCATTAGAGTTGACGTGTGATGCAAGTAATTATGCTATTGGGGTTGTTTTAGGACAATAATATGATAGAATTTTCAAAAATAATATATTATTCTATTAAAACTTTTAATGAAGCTCAAATTAATTATACTACTATGGAGAAAGAGTTATTAGCAATAGTATATGCTTTTTGATATATTTAGGTCTTATCTTACTGGAACTAAATGTATAGTGCATACAGATCACTCTGCTATTAAATATCTGATGTTGAAGAAGGATGCAAAACTAAGGTTAATCAGATGGGTCCTTCTTATGCAAGAATTTTACTATGAGGTAGTAGATAGGAAGGGAACTAATAATCATATTGTTGATCATCTATCTAGGCTTGAACGTTAAAATTCAGAATAGAATGAAAATGAAATTAATGAATATTTTCTTGATAAAAAATTATATATTGTAATTAAAGAACGTGTTCCATGGTATGTTGACATAGTTATTTACATAGTTAGTCACATTTTACCCTATGGTTTAACATAACCACAACAAAGGAAATTTAAGCATGATGCAAGATTTTACTTTTGGGATGACCCATATCTATATAAACCATGTAAGGATCAAATTACTAAAAGATGTGTACTTATGGAAGAAACTCAACAAATTATTCAAAAATGTCATGCTTCTGATTTAAGGGGACACTTAATAAAATCTTACAATATTGACCGACCTTTTTGTAAATCAACAATTACAAAAATTTGATGACGCTACTAGAAGATTAAATTCCAGCAACGATGCCAAAAACTTGACTGCAACTTTATATATATGTTTGATTTAATAAAGATGTATAGATATAATATTCAATAATGTTAAAGTCGAATTTGTCAATGCAAGTATACGTATCGCTCAAGTAATATATGGCTCTAATGGAGTCCTAGATATCGATTCCACAGCGAGAAATAGAATACTACGGACTAAGATTTAATAAAAAGAAATACTTCAACTACAACAACGTTCAATTTATATTGTGCCAAATAGAACCATACCTATTCTTTACCTTTTGGTGCAGGCATAAAGAACATTGACTAATCCTATGCTTGGTTACTGATTTTGCGGCTAGACTGAGAGGATATAGGGTCTCAATTCGGAGCTCCAACATTCCCCTCACCTGAGGGCTAACATCTACACATCAGCACCCAAACGATAGGACC